CGCGGCGCTGACGGGGCCTCGCTCCCTTCCCCGCTCTCTCCTTTCCCCTCCCGGCAGGAGGGACTTCTACAAGATCCTGGGGGTGTCCCGCGGCGCCTCCATCAAGGACATCAAGAAGGCCTACCGGAAACTGGCGCTGCAGCTCCATCCCGACAGGAACCCCGACGACCCCCGGGCGCAAGAGAAGTTCCAGGACCTGGGGGCCGCCTACGAGGTGAGGCCGGGGGCCGCGGGCTCCCCCCCAGTACCGCACCCGTGCTGCTGAGCGGCAGCGCTGCCTGCGGTGTGGGGCAGGGTGTAGCGAGGCCTGGTGTGGCTGCTGGGAAAGGAGAGGGGCGAAGCTCTGCAGCCTGTTGTAAGGAACTCGGGGAGCCTGAAGTCCTCCCGGCCCTTCTCAGACTGTGGAGGGTAGTTGGGGTTCGTGGTAAAACGTGCTGAGAGCGTGAAGCCGAGCTTGGCCGGCAAGTTGTCTCGTGAGGCTTCATCCTGTAACAGTCAGGGGAGCGAGAAAGGAGGGCTTCTGTGGAATGTAAAAGCCCTTCTATAAGGTGCAGGTGCAATCCCTCCTCCCCTATTACCATATTGAACTTCAGACATTCTACCAAATAAAAAACAAAGATAGAGAGGCTGTCAGGCTGATTAGAGAGCTCCTTTTGTTGGAGGACAATAAAAGACCTTCGTTTGCTTAGCCAGGAGAAAGTGAAGGCAGCAAGTTAAAGTTATTTGGTATTTATTAATAATTCCTTGAGGAAGAAATAGAGTTGTATCAGCTATAAGTATTGGTACAGGAGCAGGTATGTGTACGTATAGGGCCTGGCTGTGAGTAAGTCTGAGCTGATAGGAGGTGAAAGGTGGTCAGCTTGCCTTTTAGAAGGCATTAAGGTGGGAAAAATAAGTGTTAAGTCACATATGCATGAGGATTCCTGTTGTTTCCATGATAATATAGTAGCATACAAATGATATCTGACACTAATAGTACAGTGCATTATATAAATTGCATATAGATTATTTTATTAGCCAAATGTTTAAAGTCAAAGCCTACTTTCTCTGCTGTATACATACATGTTAATGCAATTTAGGCAGGGGGGTGGGATCTGTTTCTTCAATGTTCTCTGTCCTTTTAGTCTCCCTTTTGTCACTGTTGGTTTCCATCTGCTCCTGCTGTCCCCCGA